GGGACGCCCTAACCCCAAAACGAGCCTGGCACAAACAAATAATTTTGACCCCGGCTCATATCAAGCTAGGAGTCTCAGTTAAGAGTTAAGAGTCTTTAAAAGCCAAAAACATTAGCCGTTCCGGAGTATGTTTGTTGGCTCCTGTTTGCGTTTAGAATGTCTAGAGTCTTTTGAGGGACCCCTAAACATCCAATCCCTTCGGCTTTTTCAGTTAGTCTCTCAGTCTTGCTTTGAGAAGCTATTGCGGAATCTTCGGGCGAGAGCCTCTGCAGTTTTGTTTTTTTGGCACAGTGTCGGTAGGGTCCTTTGGGACTTGTGGGGGCATGTAATGTAGGCTTCTATCGGTTGTCTGCAAGGTATTTCGACTACAATCGGGGGTCTCAGTGTGTGTGTGTGTGTGTTCTGACCTGGTGCATTCTACTGCACGACGGGAGTTTGTGTGTTTCGAGCGGCTGTATTGGCACTTGGAGGTTCATCTTGACACAAGAGTCGTTCTGGACTTTGGCTTAAACCTGAAACCCTAAACCCCTAAACCCCTAAATCCTCGCGGGACCCTAAACCCTAAGCCCCAAACCCTAAACCCGAAACCCCCGAAGAGGAGCCTTGCGCGAGTGTGAGAGTCGAAAACCCCCTAAATGCATATTGCAGCATTTTGTCCGACAGCCGGGTGACCCATCCAAGCTTCAAGAAGCCATCGCCCACGATCCCTGACGATCCCAGATTTAGGGTTTAGGGCTTCAGGGAATTAGTGTTCGGAGATTGCTCTAGAAATCCGTCAGAGAGAGCTCATCACTGAAGGGCTAAGGGTTTGGGAGTTCACGGGGAAGCCTGAAGAATTTCTAATGTTATTCCGCAGGGCTCCTTAATCCTATTGTACCATAACATACACCAAAAAGCCTTATTGAAATTGTTAAGGCTCCCATTCAAGGGCATGCGTGATCCCAAGAAGGCTTCGCATTCCCCGAGGAAATGGGACTCCAGTGCACTCCGATGCGAGACTGTTGCTGATATTGAGACATCAGCTCGTCAGATCTCTGCGCACTGGTTGCCTGGTTGTCCGCGGAAGTGGCCAAGAGCCGTGTCGTTGATGGAGGCATTTTGAGGCCTATTCCTCTGGAGCAGTGCTTCCACCTCCTTCGGCACTTGGCAGGACTCGGACCGAAGCTGAGTCTGAATCTGAAAGCGGACAGTTTGTGATCAGACACTGCTTGGCGAGCGTGTAGCCGAAGCCGAAAAGGCACAGGAAAAGGCCGCCAGAGCACAAGCCGAACTCTTGGAGGCAGATCTTCAAGATCCTTTGATGGGGCAGGTGTTGGAAGGACGAGCAATACAGTGCGAAAGAGGCGCCATATTGCAATAGATCGGGACTCAGCGTAGCAGGACTGCGCACTATGACTAGCCTTGCTTTTCTCCAACAACCAACAGTTTTCGACCTAGGCCAAAACCTTTTTTTGCTTATACCAACATATACTCCAAAACCCCATTGAAATCATTGAGAGACCCATATTTCTAGAACCCTTGTAGGAACCCCTTCGGAGCCCTTTAAACGGACAAAGCCCTGCCTTTGCCCAGTCACAATCCTCTCCGCTGATTACGTCGCCGTCCTCCCCTCTGATGCAGCCTGGCCTTCCTTAGGGTTCAGGGTCCTTAGGGACTGTTGGGACTTGAGGGTTTAGCGAAGGTTTTGGTTGTAAGACTTTAGGGCCTTTGGGCTTCTCATAGTGGGCACCTAAAAAGGGGAGTTTGGGTGCCCCCAAGCGGAAGGCTCGCTTGAGGGAGGTTTGGGCTTTCATCACAGTTTAGGTGCCTGTAAGGGCGTTGGGAATTTGGCCTCAAGGGCACCAGAGTGATTGCAGACTCACAAAAAACAGGGCGGTTGTCTTCGCCTCACCTCTCAATCCTCACCCTAAACCCTTTTTCCTTAACCGTGAGCTGCGGACCAATCCTGGCGCGCTTGAATTCAGTTCTCGTCGTCCTTGAGCTGATTCGGTTAGAGTAGAGTTTCCACTTCGTATATTACCGACACGGCCGAGACCCTGTACCGTAGCATGCTCGTAGTACACATTCTACTGTGTGTATATATCCCTTACATGCGCACGGTCGCCTGGGTTTCGTGTGAAAATTGCAGGAAGAGCTCCAGATCTTCGCGCTCCGTGAACTTTGGAGAAACAGGCTTCCGATGTCGGGGGGATGCAGGGAGTAAGAGGGTCTTTCTCCACATGAGGGTACAGGGTGATGTAGGGTTTCGATTCAGATCTCCGAGCCCGGTGGAGAGACGGAGAGAGAGAGAGAGAGAGAGAGAGAGAGCGAGCGAGCCTTTCTACACCGGAAGTTTCCAGGATGGCTATACAAGTGCACTTAGAGGCTCATGTCTGCCGCAACTGGGATGACAAGCACCTGTGAATATGAATCAACTGGTACTGTGACTTGTGGAGTCTTTGCAAAATTTACGGAACCCGTATAATTGAGCCCGCGAAAAATAAGAACCATTGCGTTGAACCCTACATGAACCCTAGGCCCTAAACCCTAAACCCTAAGCCTCCTCGGCGTAGTGACTGAAGTCCGTGAACTAGTTACAGTGAAGGCGCGGACTTTGGTTTGCACATGCGAATCGTTGTCTCTTAGAGGTTCTTTATCTTAAGGGCCTGTCTTATTGCTGCGTTGGCATGTGCAGTTGTTTCACTTTGAAGCTTGCCCATCATTCGCCTCGCCTGGATTGTCCGAGTGTGAGAGCCGAAACCCTAAACCCATGAACCCTGAACCCGAGCTTTCTGAAGCAACAAAGCGGCGAGGTGCCTCAAAGGAGGAAGGCCGGAGGGGCCACTGCGAGTTTTGCTTTTGGGAGAGCAGGGTTCCTAAGAGGGTTTCTTCCATTCTTCCTCATGAGTCGTTCTTCTGTGTTTAGTTTGTGGTATTTTTTGTGGTATTTTTTGTGGTATTTTTTTGTGGTATTGTTTAGGCAGTTATGGGGAACAAACTTTAAAAAATCCACGGGTGCAATTGAGGTTCTGCAGGATTTGTCGCATCACGTTCATGTGAGCTTCAGTGGTTCGGCAAACCAGCCTCCAGAGTAGGATCTGGTGTTCCTGGTTCAGAAAGCATGGCATAAAGCACAGTAAAGCCTAAATTCTCGAATTCCCAGGAGGGTTTCAAGAACAGGCCTTTGGCTTGTAATGCTTCACTGCGCACCTAGGAAAAAAGGCCCAAAACGTTCAACCAAGAGCCTACTTAAGCCTGGGAAGGCGACCGAGACCGGGGTATCACGAAGCGGGGATCGACGTTTGCTCGTGCCCCGACAGTACCGGGATTCGGGCGGGATGCAGCCGTCCTGGACACGGCAGTGCAGAGGTTTGGGCCTAGGCATTCAGGGTATCTAGCAGAGGGCCTTTTTGGGGAGCGTTCTGGTTGTTGGACTGTGGGAGGGGCCTACTGGAGCTGCGAAAGTCAAAGCGCTGAAGCCTGACATTATACCTCAAGGGCCCTACTACATCCCTGATAGGGTAGTTTTTCGAAACTTGTGGGCTTAGGATTGTCACCCTGGTCAAACCCAGGTGCTTTAATGCTCAGGATTCAAGACGAGTTCAGCGCTAACCTGTCAACCCCAATGTCAAGAGACCAGTATTCGATGTGCATGATACAATATGTGTATGTATGTACGTATGTATGTATGTATGTATGTATGTATGTATGTATGTATGTTCTCATCTCATATCATATGACGGATATTCGCCCAGGCATTGGTGTGGAGACCCTGATTCTGGAGCCCCCGGCAAATCTGAGTGCCAAGGTCGGGTTTCCCAGGGCTTAAGGTTGGGCCTTGAAGAATTTGAATGTGAATATATAGGGGCCTTGAGAATTAGAATAGGGTTTGGGGTATATTATGCTGTAATTATCATAAGGAGCCCCAACACCCTATTCTAATTATTAAGGCTCCTACATTGCTCGTTCGGGTCCCTTAAGATTGCATATTACAGCATGTAGCGGTTTTCGGCTTACGGTCTGGACTTGGGGGACTCTGGAGTTTTTGGCTATCTGGAGCTTCTTGTTTTGCAGGTGAAGTTCTGAAGCCGGGCAACTTTGGTGGTCGGAATAATTGGGGTGTTTTTGTTCTGCGCATAACTAGCCGAAAACCCCTCAAAAAGCACCCTAGGCTGGGCCCTATAAACCCTAAACCCTCTAAGCGAGGCTCCCGGACAGCAAAGAAAACACAGCACACGGCAGAGGAGCCACATTTGGGCCTGGCGGTGCACAACGGACGGGCGATACATACAGACAGATTGAAAGACTGTCAGATTGACAGCCATGCATGCACGCATGCACTTTGCACATCCATGCCTGCATGCATAGATGCGCGAGCGCAGGCAAACACACCGACAGACAGAGACAAACACATTACACATACAGTATGCTTTCATTTACGACCCAGAACGGAAGCTGGATGCCCCTGCTTAGAAACACCCGAAATTTGACAGTTTAGCCGAGGGCCTTATCTTGCAGTTGTAAGAATCCGCCAAATCCGAGCCCCACGGCCTGAGGCCGAAGTTTAAGGAAGCCCTTGGAGCGGCTGCGAGGTCGTCTATGGACGTTTAGATGCTGCATCAAAGGCGAGTCAGCTGCTTGGATGTGCTCAGGGACGTTCGTTCGTTTTTCCCTGCCTGGCACATGGGGACGGGGGGTCCTTCAAATTAGTGTTACCTTCTTTAGGACTTTAGGGGTCGTTAGAGTAAGGATCCCTGTATTTGGGGTTTGTATTCGAGTTTTTGGAAAGATGTTCTGAAACTTCCTCAATGTAAATTCTAAGAGATACCAGAGTCCCTTGAAATACTTTGGCATTGGAGATCCCACGCCAACGGGATTTGAGGGTGCAAGCTGTCGAGACCTCACTATCACTAGGTGGCTTTGGGCCGTGTTGTGCTGATCTCAGGACACTCTCCTTCGCCAACTACACGAAGGAGTATGACGCACCTTGGGTGGAAGGCATTTGCCCCGTGCCTCACAGTGATGTAGACCGTTGGTGCTTAACCCCCCTCGATGAGGACTACATGGAGATCGGCATAGCCCTTGGTTGATTAACCAGGGATCTACATTGTGGGTCAGAGGCTGCCGGGTTTGGTTTTTGGGAAGTTTGTGCCTCAGAAAAGCCCCTGTATAATGTCCGCCTGTAGAAGACACGCTTTCTTCTACCCTTCGAACTGTGGGCCTCACGTCAGTTAGAGGCACTCGCACCCTCCGACGAGCCGAAAGCTCAGCGGCATTCGAAACTGCGAGCCTTGAAGCCAAGTTGTGAGGCTTTCCCCCCAAAAAACCCGAATGCTCCCAAGGACCCCACCCTACATAAGCCCGATTATACTCAAGCACCCTCATCCCTAAACCACGTAGCCATTTTGGCTCAAGTTTCGGCTCTCAGGGCGTCGCAACTCGCTTTCTCTCCGGGTCCCTCCCTCTCGGTCCTCTTGCTTCGTCTCCCTTTTCTTTCCCGTCGCTCTTGTCTTTCGTCCGGGCGATGATTTCTGGACACGCTGCAGGGTCTACTGGTCTTCGTACTGGGATAGCAGACAGCCAGGCCACTACAATTCCCTTTGGTATGGGCTTGTTATCTGCTGGAGTTGAGAGGCTTGAGGATACTGAAATTGAAGTTGATGCAACGGAAGGAGGCGGGGGTGTGATTATTGGGGGGGCAGCTGGCGTGCCTTCTCCCGGTGGGGTTTCTGACTTGCTAATTGATGTGGAGCCTCCGGTCCCTATCCCGAGGCGACTCTCTTCTTTGGAAAGCCACGAGTCGGCTGAAGTGATTCCGGGACCCCAGTTTCTTCGAGCTAAAGCGGGCGGGCCCGCCCTTAACATTTGTCATCATGGGAGCATTCTGGAGGGTGGGGCTATTTCAGATCGCGACAGCTCAGGTAGTGACGGGCCCAAGAATCCGCCGCCCGCTAAGGTGTCTGGTTTGGACGCTACAGGTCTCTCCTCCCCCCC